TCAGTTGCTACATTTTTTGGTCAAATATTTTTGAATAATGACCACTAAACTGCATAGTGACTATTGTCCCTGGCAACACTGTGTCACTAGCACTCAGTGCCTTAATCAAATACTTTTAACTCAAACCAACATTTCATGTCCATTTATTTATTGATTTTTAAAAAGCTATAATGCACATTCAGACGTCATTTATTGCAAAATAGACCCCAGCAGGGTTTTGTCTAGTTTATTTTCCGATAACAGCCAGATTACATTAACCTGCTCATTACACAGCTATTTACAAAACAAATAAATCCCTTGCTTATTTGTCTTAAAAAAAGAAAAGAAAACATGGTTCACTGCAGGGTAAGGCATAATTCATAATTTAAGCTTTAAGAATTAGAAAAACTCTAATAAAATACAAATAGTTGTTTCACACTAATTTTAAAAATTATGTCTATTTGTTCCCTATGAGGAATACATTTTTGTCTGTTTCATTTTGCACCAGCACTAGTTTGCTTAAAAAAAAAAAACAGGTTTCCCTCTAAATTTCTCCCTCGTCTCCCATTGGTCAGTTAGAAAGACCGTCCTGCCCCAAACACACACCAAAATATTAACAATAATATTTTGATAATGCCACAGAAGAATTTTCTACCAACATATGACTGTCCCTGCTTATTAAGATGGATTATGATATGGTATATGAACATCTTTGGTTTAATTCAGAACAGCATAGGCTACTAGCATCCTAATTTTGGAATATTTGCAATATCTTCATATTGCAAAACTAATAACTGTTCTAAAATTAGAGCGATTTTTAAGACTCCTTAACTGTCACCCCATTTTTGAGCATGAAAATGCACTATCCAAACCTTAATGAGTGTAATTCATGAATGCTTTGGAATACAGATTGGTTGGTTTCTTTTTAAAGAACTAAGCACTCATGAGATTAATGTGAAAGCACTTTAAAAAAAAGTGTAAAAAAAGTTATACGTTATAGAACATTTACTGTAAAACAAATGTACAGTACTTATTTTATATAAAGTAGTTTCATTCTGTGACGTCACATGTATTTTATGTCTCTTTTTTTCTGTAGGCTTCAACTTTGTTCTCTATTTATTTATGTCAACTATAATGTAATGAAAAGAAACCACTATTGTTTTCACCTTATATTTTCTCTCCATCTCTTTCATCTTCTCTCATGCCATCCATTGCCCTCGTGTCACACTTGACAATCCATTTATGTTTGCTTTAGTCAAAAGTAAACATTATTATCAATCGGAATCGGAAATGTCCTCTTTCCTGCATTTGTCCATCAGGAGTTTATTCAGTGTCATCCCTCATTATACAAACAGGAACAATTGTACAGCCAGACTTTGATCTGTAATCTGAATGTTTATAATGGGATAGTTGACATGAAATAAACTTTTGGCACGTTGACGTTTGATGCTATTTTCCATATTTTTTTTAATCATGCATTTATGAGCTCATGTAAATTGAGGGACTAACAAAGTTTTTTAAAGTATGTTTGGCCTCCCAAATTTGTTTGTTATTAAATAAGTTTTAGGCAATTTTATATTAAACAAATCCTATAAAAGCAAATAAATACGCCATGTGACTTTTTTCATTATTGTCCAGGATTGCAGTAAGATTTGAATATGTCTGTTTAATTTGGTTGAAATTCTTCTCACAAATTTGAAATTTCTTTGTGTAAATCTAATACACATTTAAAGGTTTCACTGACATTATCATTCAGCCTCAGGATTAACAGTAAAACTGACCACAAGTGAACCATTCACCACCTCTTTTCTGTAGCTCCTTTCAGCATCTACCTTCCTCTGCAACAGAGCTGCCTTTCAGTCCCTTTTCCACCTTCTCTCACAAATAAATACAATCATCGTCATGATTACTGCATGACGTATGTACTCTCTCGGACATCCAAATGAGTGACAATAAAAACACTCTGAAAATGAAATGGGCTTGTTAAAATCATTAGTGTGAGAAGCCCAGTAGTCCATGAAAAAGACAGTTACACAGAACTGCACAGCGGTTTCATTTCCTCAGCTGCCAGTTTGTTTGCCTCAGCTGGTTAGTAACATAACATTATACTCTGTTGAAGATTCATCCTTTGAATAGAGAGCCTTTGTTTGTGATTTTCTCAGTTTCTTTGTGTTTGCATGAATGGTGCGGTAGAGGATCTGTAGTTAACTGTCAATTTAAGTTTTTCTAGTTTGTCATCCTTTTTTAGTCCTCCCAGGCTTTTGTTGCTTTTCTCTGTCTTGTCTATCACGGAAGGCAGGGCAGAGATGAGAAAGCTTTCGTTCAAAGCGAAGTTTAAAGCGGATAAAGAGGCATTGGTGTCCTTGATCTGTTTTCTTTTTGCCCCCCACTGAGTTAATGACTGCAATCAGGACGGCCCTCCGCTGAGAGGAGGACCGCTTTACACGCATATACATATGGCTGCACACACACTAACATGTATAGCCATATCCACGGATGGTTACGTAAACTCGAGACATGATCAAGGTTATTAGGCTGTGGCGTTTCCTGCAGTAGTGGACATACAGACATGAAGTAGCTCTGATTCATGGCTCCTTTTTTTTCTTCTTTGAAATGTTATGGGGTTTTTTTCACCATACAATGAAAGTCAATGGGGTCTGATGTTGTTTTGGACCCCATTGTCTTTCTATAGAATGGACAAAAACCATTAAGATAAGGTTCATTTTTAGAATAATATATAAACACACTAATATTATAGTAATGTACTTTATGTATTAGTATAATCCATGTATTTTTTTAATCCATAAATGAAAGTGGTCTAAAATTGTTCTGGACCCCCCTTAACATCAACAACAACAAAAAAACACAAAAAACAAAACAAATCTTTCTTTCCGTATTATTTGTATAATGTATTCAAATACGGCAAAATGTTTAAAATGCATCTAAGAACACTCCTTAGCTTAAAGCATAATCAGATAAAGCTGAATAATTATTAAATAAACATACAGAAACAACCTATACAAACACTCTGATTTGTATGTGATATCACATGCTAAATGCAAATAATAAAATGCACTTTATGATTGATTAACAGTGGCCCAACGACAATGTTGTAAAAGCAGTTTTAATACAGTCTTCATATACTTTCTAAAATGAGAACATCTATTATATATCTATGTACAGTATATGTTAACATTAGCTAATGAGTTTGACTTTCCTTTATTAACCGTGCACTTGCTCTGGTCTGTAGGCTCTGTGTTCCTTCTGTTTTACTTTTAAATGTATAATTTAAATAAATAAATAAAAATACAAGCAAATATTTTTTAAAACTACAGTTTTTATGATACCTTTGTAATGCAACTTGTATCAAGGATGGACATCATTTATAAGGTTGAAACAATGTGGTTCAGACTAAGGTCAGTCAATAAGGTCTTTGGTCTAAACTTGTTGATTCAGTGGCCCTTTCATCTAACCAGAAAGCTCAGGAGAAAATGACTTAAATGAACTTGTATTTCATGTCTTTTCACAAGAGACCTTCCATTGATTTTGCTGCTTGTCAGTTTAGCGTTGTCTCCTTGCATTCCCCTTGTAAAGCCTCCAGAGCCTCTACATAAAAGCCTCACATACTTTACCTCTCCTGCTCCTTTGCGAGAGGTCTGAAAATCATTGGATTATGGAGCAGGAGCCTCCAAAGAGATCTGAGACCAGGTGTTGACTCAGTCACTGGTCAACAGAGTTACACGCAAATGATCACATATGTTTTCAACATTGTACTATTTATACCCTCTGGTGTATAAATATGCTAAGTATATTTTAAGAAAGTATGGAATCTTTTCTGTCTGCTTCACGTCTGGTCTTGTGAGAGACTGTAGTTAAGTTTGGGGTCTTTCAGCACTTCTATTAGAAGGAAGTCTACCGATGATGACACACATATGCATGCTTTGCCAGTCAAATGCTCTGTTAGACGAAAACAGTTGACACTTATTTTCTTGCCACTATAGAAATCTATAGAATCTATAGAAAGCCATATGAGGTCTGTGAGATGTGGAACTGATCTGGCCCTCGTTCCTGTCCAACACGGACCTGGCAACGTTCCCTTCAAGTCTGCTTGATTTGTGCAGCAAATGTATTCTGCCACGGAGATATTAGTCCAAATCCAAACAGTAGAGACCGACACTCAAAGAGGAAGCTTATTTAGACTGCAATATATACAAATTTATATATATATATATATATATATATAACAAAATGAGGTAACTACAGCTGGAGCACTTTTTGTTTCAACATCTGTGAGTATTATTTAATATTTATTGAATATTGCTGAAATTATTTTGGTGGCACTTTGCGCTTCGTCTATTTTCCAGTTGTCCTGTAGTTTTTCTATAGTATTTATTGGACCTAAACACTAAAAAATGCTGGGTTGCTTCAACCCATGTCTGGGTCAAATATGGACAAACCTTACTTAAAATGTACTTAAATTTAGGGAAATTCGGGGGGAAAAAAATCACAATTTTTGTGACAAAATTGGAATATTGTTCTTTTATCAGATAATATGAACACAATAACTTGATTATAAAAAAACATTTTCAGCATTTTCAGGCTGAATCTGATATTATCTAATATATATATATATATATAGGAATCAGTAGAATACAAACCAGAAAAACACTGACAAACAGCTGAAGACATGCAAAGATATTTCACAATTTACACATATGGAAACACATTGTGTATTGAGTGAATGTTAATCAGGCATCTTATTAGTCCAACGGAATAGAATAATTAAAGAGTGGAGTCACACCCATAGAAAGTTAATGTAAATATGAAAGCAAATATTGACACAGGTCACTTAGTCTGAACATTGTCACTATAGCACAAGTTGTGACAGAGCTCTTAGCTTCTATTTATCTGTTCTCTATGCCACAGTGGAGATGGATGTACAAGAACACCTCATGTTATTGGCTCCACCCCTTATCTAACAACACAAGAGACCTGAGAAAAGGAGAGAAGGGAGGGAGCGAAGGACGAGAGAGGGTGAGTGCATGTAAGAGATATGTTTATACTAAGCCAGGCTCAAATTCAATGCCATCGGTGCACCGGTGCTCAAGTAATGTGGGAAATTAAAGCTCAGACACGCAGAGTCTCAGGAATGGTGAGACATTTCTAGGAATAAATTACGTACCTCTATCCGAGGGCTCTGAGAAGAAAAGAAGCTCTCAATTCTGTGAACATAAACTCGGGTGAAAGCTACAAAAAAACTACAGCTTTACAAGTTCACAAAGGGTGGTGAAATATCTCGACGCTCTTCAGAGACAGCTCGGAAGCTCTTATGTCAACTAACCATCACGAAGCAAAACTGCAGCTTACAAAACATATGGATTACATGGATTATTGCTGCTGATTCAAGAACACAGAGTAAGTTTTTTTTATAAAATGCATGCACTGCAAAAAAAATAGTTTAAGTTTGTTTTGAAAATACAAATAAACATCCTTTTTAAACATTTATGCAAAAGAAAAAAAATATATATATATATAAAGAAATGTACAGATGTTTTCAGAGTATGGGATAATATTAAAATAAAATAGTTCTAATACAAATGTGCAATTGTAAAAGTGCCCCGAGAACACTTTCAAAGTTAAATATTTACTGTAAAAAATAAGTCAGAAATTCAACATTAGTAAGGCAAACTCTGTCCGAATCCATTCGAATGGGAGTATGCATGCCACACTGACAGAACTATAGTTTTTATGTGCTGGGCAGTTATTAGATTATTTTTTTCCTCCACAACTATCTCCAAAAAAAGTCATATCGAATGAATGTCCTATTGAATTGTTGATAACTTATTTTAAAATATAGAAAAGTATTTTTCACAGTTTTATTTGATTCATGTGTTTTAGGGCAACAAAATAAAAGACAAACTTCTATTAAAGTGAAAAACATGCATTGACGGAAAGTGAGGTGAGCATGAATGCACACAAATATACATTCACACACATATGAATAAACCTAATTAAGTGTTGACATGAAACACATTGCAATGTGATTTTATACTCCATCTAAAACTATTTTAAATAGCCATTTAGTTGCTAGTTATTTTTGGATTATATGCCGTTTCCATGACACATTAATTCACATTAATTGAGCGACTACATAGAATGTGTTGAGTATGTATTTTTACATATTCAAAGGGCTTTTAAAAGTGGTTAAAAGACATTCTCCTACACAATGTAAATTTCATTCTTAACAAATCATGGACATGTCAACAATCCATATACTAATTTGTTAATGACTACTTTGGAATGTGGATACAAAGCACAACTAATTTGTTTACATTTAGAGCCATTTTGATGAGTTTTGCTCATGCAGACTGGTAATATGGTCACTGCATGAGAAAAATGCTGATTCATCCGCAAACTGTTTAATCTCTCAGAACATGAAGAATGTTATATGGCATAAACATTGCATTGCTATTTATTGTTTTAACTTCTGCAAACAGTAAGTGTATCGCAGGGCATGAGTTTGATAGTGTCAGTAAACGCCTAAAGGGAACACAAGGTTAGCTGGTAGGGCCGTTTAAACATCGGGTGTGTAGATAATGCCCATATAATGATCTAAAATCCAGCCTTCCCTCACCTTTTTGGAAATTTTGGGTAGCTCTTGTATAAGTGAAGATGTAATATAGTATTTAAAAATGAAAAATTAATCAGTGCAATAATCAAGATGAAGGCCATGTACTATTTTCTTTTATTATTATTTTATCATGATATAAATAATTTAAACTATCTCTTATTATGGTCTCTGTAAACTTTCTGAAATCATTCATTCTGCAGGAGGTTCCCCAATATGTTCTTATCAGGAGTGAGAAGCTGTTGAAATCCAACAGGGAGGTTTTTGGAAACATGCTGACGCAATATTTTAGTGTGCAGTTGATTAAATTAATAAGGTGCTGAACACCATGATACATGGCAGACATCCATGACCCGGAAAATTAATTTGCAAATGCATAAGGCATTGGAAGATAAACCTAAAGAAAGTATTCTGGAAATAAATTAAATTTTTAATGACGCAATAAACTGTTGTAACCTGACCTGTTTTCTTGACGCTCACCATCTTGAGCAATTATTATGACCTGCGTATTGTACACCTGATATTCTGGCCAATTTCTGGAAGTCCAATTCAATTTCTATTTCAATTACTTTGTAAAAGATTTATTCTGTTTGTCAGTATAAGTGAAAAATAATTATTATCAATTTATCAAGATCTTGATTTTAGGTCAAATCATCCAGCTCTAGTTACCTCATTACTCCCTATGTATTCAAACGTCTGTTCTTGGTTGAGTGTCGTTTATGATTAAGTGGTTTTCTAGTACATTTCGCGATTATTCTAGTTAGATTATAATTAAAGACAATTTAAAAGGACTTCAATAATGTACTTGCCGGCCGTCCAGATGCTCTACCTTGAGCAGAAGGAGCAAAAACCACACAAGGGATTTTTTTTAGATCTGGCATGCCTCAACCACTATCCACTCAGGTGTATTTCACCCACTTTCTTGAAGTGGGTGCTGGGGAACAACATATTCAACAGGCGTTCACTTCCTATCCCGCTGTGGAGGACATCACCAGCCCCACTCCGGACCCAGCGTCCAGTCAGACGCCTCCCTCACACTGCACGGTGCCTATGCCAGAGCCCAGCACAGATGAAGAGCCCAAGCCTGACGAGATGCCAACGCCTAAGTCGATCATTGCAGTAGTGCATGAGCCACACATAAAATCTGACCAGGTGTGTGAACCAGCAACATTGTCCGTGCCAGTGGGTATTCTCATGAAGTTTGTGAGAATGGAATGGAGACCTGCTTATACTGCAGATGCTGAGGGTGAGCTGCATATGGCCTCTACAAATTTTTAAAGGGAAGTGCCATCGCCACTGGACCCACCCAGCTCCAAAGTCTCCTATGGCTCCACTGGTCTAGCCCAGCTCCAAGTCTCTTGTGCATCTAAAGATCCCAACCAGCCTCCCTCTTACACATCCTCTTCTAAAGACAGTCACTCCTTCAGCCCTCCCTCCCCCGTTTCCCTTCAGACTCTCAGCTCCTCCTTTGTTGACTCCATTCTGCTGCATGGATCTGATTTGGGTCTTCCAGGCTTCAGCTCTGCCTTGGCTAGGGGATCCCCTCGCTCCACACCCAGCCCCCAAGTCCTTCACTCCCCCTCGGCCTGTCAACCAGTCGACTCCACCTTGGCTCCTCCCTCCCTCGGTTTCAGCTGGGACCATTGCCTTCCGGCGACACCTTGGTCAGTCACCACTCTGCCTGCGCCACTTCCCTCCACCCCTTTGGCTCCACTTTGGTCCTGAGTCCCATTGGCTCCACCTCGGTGCTGGTCGCTGCGGCTCTGCCTCGACCCCCAAAACGGGTGTTGCTTGATCTCATCAACTCTTCGACACCATCTGAGTGTCCACCTCCACCAGCTCTGTCTAAGCCTGTTGCGCACCTGGATCCGCCTTCCAAGTCTCTACCATGGTTCCTCCCTCCCTTGACTCCGCTGTGGTCATTCATCCTGGCTGTGCTTTGGTTTTCAATTTAGCTCCTTCTGCTCTCGTCACAACAAGCTCCTCCCACCGTCATTGCCACCCACCATGGTCTCTCCCGCCATCACCTCCTCGTGTTTCCTGACCAATTAATCAAGAGTAAGAACGATTTGTGCTTTCACATCAGAGTCTCCAAAAGTTTCTAATAACACCAGAAAAAGTCGTTAGATTTGTCGCTAGTCGCTTTTTTGAAAATGTGTTGCTAAAGGTGTCTGAATAATTGCTAAATATAGCGACAAACTCGCTAAGTTGGCAACACTGATCAGAGTATTTCCTTTAAGCAGTCTTCAACGATGCAGCAGTCTGCAGAAACTCAGTCAAAACGAAAGCTCGGCTCTAAAGTAAAAGACAATGAGTCCGTACGCCCGCTTCCTGTTTATACAGCGCATGACGCTTGAAGTTGATAGGGCTCCCTGAAGTGATCACAATTACTTCACGTCGAACTTGAGTGGCTGAAAGGGAACTATTTTTAAACTGTAATTTTTAAAAATGACCAAAAAAAAAAATACTATTTAGCTTGTACCTACATGGTTTTTACTAAAAAATCTAAATGCTAAATAAAGCTGCTCATTTAAGTTTGACCTCCTGAAGTTGACAAACATATTTTACGCACTTGCTTTCACTGACAATTTTCAAAAATATAAACTGCCTTTCCAATTAAATAAGCCATACCAGTTATGCATTTAATAAAACAACTGCTAAATTATGTCATGGCCAGTCGTCTTGGAGAAACCTGTGGTGATCTGTCCAAGCACACCATCACACCAATAGCTTTGTTGTCAAACCAAGTTTAAAACACTTTCAAGTATTCTGCATAAAAAAGGGGCTTACAAAAGCAAAGTGCTTTTTTGTATCATCAGCTATATTTACTCTAGGTCAACATTTCTGCTACACCATATTAGTGGATTCCACAGAGGGAAAGGGATTTAAGGAAAGGTAGAAAATGTCAAAGCAAGGGTAAACCGAACAGCTCATGCATCAGCTGCTTCAGAGGATGACCTCAAACACAACTGTGACAAGGACACTCGCTTTTATTTATGACTGGACCTGGAAAGACAGCACAAGGCATTTAAAAAAAAAAACATTTTATAAAAAGGAAGAGTTTCACAATCTTAGTATTTATATTTTCTGAAAGAGAATGAAGTATAGAGTGCAAGTAGAATGACAGATGATAGATATTATCAGCTATTATTTACGAGGTGCTGTAAATTACTTTTCTAAACAAAACATTCTTATATTATTTAGACCAGTATTCGGGGCTAACGCGTTAAATGGTTCAATATAAAAAAGAAATAAATATATTTTACTTTCAGATCACTGATTAAATCGTCCCTTTGCAGCCGTTACTTATGTAAGATACATCACTTGCCTCGAGCACCTTATTGCTTTTATAAAATGGTACCAAACAATAAAAATATTTAAGTAAAAAACAAAACAACGTATTAGTGCAACTTTCATGAAGTAAAATCACTAAAAGCCTTCCTTCCGCTAGAAAAAAAATAGTCCCTGACCGTGAACAGCAACAATGTTTCAATGTGTAAAATGCATGAAAGCTCAAATAAAAGCAACATAGGAACCGCAGTGTTGCGCAGTGATAAATAGAACCGTTGGGTGAAGCAGTCATAGCCGTGTTTTATCATGAATATCAGAATCAAGGATTGGAACTAACCGTTTTATAAATTGTGTTATTAAATATAATACATTTTTGAGTAATAACTAGTTGTTCATTATTCATACAGTATTATAGAAATGATAGAAATCTTTCTATCATGAGTTTAGCAAGATAATGCATACGACAATGTTAATTTATTTGGTAATGGCTGAATAGATCTGCTATGCGGCTACTGCTGTTGTTTTTTATCATTTCTGGTGCAGAGCAAGTACAGACACTTGGTTTGTTGTCTGTACAGTTGCTTTTGAACAGTTGCCTATATGAGTCAAACTGACCCCACAAACAGCAAGATTGTATAAAATGTCTGTATGCACATTTCTTTGTCTCTTTGCCTTAGAAAATTACAATATGCGGGTCAAATTGACAAACATCACAAACGTAATAGTAGTTATGTGTGTATATGTCAAAACACATCAGCTTGTTGAAACTTTTTGTGCATGTTCATGACACATAGGTTAACCTGTATTTCCGACAACTCAAAAATCAAAATGGGTTCAGTTGACCAGTAACATCTTGAGTTTCATAACAGAACTTGGTACTGTATATAATAGAGCATTATTTAGTCCTGTTAAATCTATTGTTTTTGTTTATTTTACATCATATTTGGTACTTTGTCAACTTAGCTTTTCACTGTAGCATTTTTCATTCTTGGTTCTATTAAAATGACAAGCATTTTTAGAGGGGGGAGATGTTGCTGTAAAGGGAGGACTGGATAAATTTGTCAGTAAAAATTACATTTATAAATAATTACCTTTTTTAATGTGTTGGGGTCTAGCATCAGTAGATAAGAAAGATGACAATTGTTCCCATTTAACATAGCCTTTCTTATTCTCATATATGGGCAAACTTTGTATTGGTATGCATGGCCTTATAGTTATTTCTCTTTTGTGTGTTCTCATCTCATGCCCTGTATCCGATTGCTCACCCCACCTCCTCCTCTCTGTTTATTTAACCCAGCGTCTCATGCTACCAGTCTTTCTCAAACTGTCAGTCTCATTTTTGCAACTGATATTTTTATTATTTATTTGCATAGTTAAGAAAATAAACCAGATTTTATTGGGATCAAGGAGCAGTTGATAACAGACAAAGGAAGCGATAGAAAATGGGGTAAAGGAATGGGCAATGGAAAACAAGAGGAAGGAGGAGGACTTTATGGAGTCAATCAGGGATGAGAGAGATATACATGGGGAGCAAATGTGATAGACTAAGCTGGGTGGGATAGTAAGAATCAAATCAAGTCAAGGAAAATTTAGAAAACAAAACAAAAAAGAGACGGATTGACAGACTCATTTTGGGAAAAAAACTATGGGAAATAAAACAAATCAAAGAGTGGTAGAGGAAGCAGATTTGTTCGCTTGCTTTTTGTGTGTCTGTGAAATTGCTTAATTAACTGAGTGGCAAAAGCTCATGAAACAAGATTAATGATGAGAGTTGCAATGTGATGGCCATGTGTTGTGTTGTGTGTATATACATATAATATATGTTTATAGAGTGCAGATTCCTCTGCATGTGCTAATACAATATCTGCCTCAGTGTTTGTTACAAAAAAAAAAAAACACTTGATGTGCTTTATGCAATTCACAAAATAGCTAAAATATCAAAATAGTATTTTTCGGTATACTATTTTACAATCAGGTTTCATTAGTTAACATTTAGTCAACTACATTAGTTAAACTGAACTAATATTGAACTGCACTTCTACACCGTTATTTTCCACATTTACTAATACATTATTTAATATTATATATACTTAAACATTATATAAAGGTTTGACCAATCTCATTGCTGATTGAATTAGCATCTCAAGGTTCCGAATAACAGCTATGCTGATGAGATCAGGGCTGAGGAATTTCCTGTAACCGGCTGAATCTTGCATTTACATTTTCTTTGTTTCAAAATTCACCTCCTCTATGTAATTCCTCCCCCCTTGAAACGTATAAGAACAGTTCTGTATACAGCTGGGGTTTTTTTTATTAACCAACATTAACAAAGATTAACAAATACAGTAACAAATGTATTGCAGATTGTATCACGGTTATAGTTTATGCTATTGACTAATGTTAACAAATGAAACCTTATCGTAAAGTGTTACCCATTTTTCTATTCAGCCTGTCATATCAATAATTTTACATATGCAATTCATTTTTAATACATTTCCCCATTTCACTTCAAGACCATTTACATTAACTTCTGGGTTGCCACTTGATGTCCAATGTTAAATATGGGTTCTAAAACGAATCATCTATATCATACCTCCTTGTGACCAATTCTTGCAGGCATGGAGACCTTCTCAGGAGAGGAATTCTTTGAGCATGCTGAACTCAACAGCACTTTCAAAGGAGGATCATACTTTTGGTTGGTCGCTCAAAACAGCTCAATAAACCGCACTCAGGTGCCAGGTCCTGTTAGGATTCGGAACATGGCTCTGGCTCAAGCCGAGATTGGAATTCTGGGTCTGGTTCTCGCTCTGGCAACACTAGGGAACAGCTTTGTACTGTGGGTTCTACTGAGGCGACGCAAATACAATGCACCCATGCACCTATTTATGGTCAATCTGTGTGTTGCAGACCTTGTGGTGGCATTTTTTCAGGTGAGCTGAACTGTTTAATGCTTAGCAAAACATTACAGGGTTGCCAACACAGACCGTCTCATGTTCTCACGTCACCATACTAAATCTCACGCCAAATAATGACAATGCAAAATGTGCTTGATAGAAGCTTTCTCAAGAGCGCATATTTCCATTTCGTAAAACAGCCATAAGAGCAAGAGTGTGAATGAGTATCAAATAGGCGGAGCTCAACAAAAAAAAAAAATTGTGCAAAAATTTAGACTAAAATATTATTTAAATATTATTTTATAAAAATTATTATTTTATATAGCTGCGCAATACTTTGTTCCCTAACTCAGGGAATTGTGGTTACGTGAGTAACCAAGTAGTTTTTTTTTATTATCTATAATTTATTGATTTTAAACTATCTTGCTTGCTTTTTTATGGTATTTTTTTAATGAATTGACCGGCAGAATTGCTGGTAATATTAGGTAGTTAAACAGCATGCAATTCAAAAGTTTTTAAAAAAGTGTATATTGTACAAATTAATCTTGTAAAATGAAATTAAAAAATGAATTGTTGCATCCTCAAAACCTCCTATAGGTGCCTGTGATTGGTTCAAGCCATGTCTACAAAATCTCACACCAGCCAGGTAACCAAAGTTGGTAACCCTGGCATTATTTATTTTAAGTGACTTGCCAACAGCACTTTACTGTTTTGCAGGTGCTCCCGCAGCTGGTATGGATTATCACAGAGAGATTTCAAGGTCCTGACGTGCTGTGCCGCTCAGTGAAATATCTTCAGATTGTGGGAATGTTTGCATCCTCTTACATGATTGTTGCTATGACAGTGGACCGCCATAATGCCATCTGCTGCCCCTTGCAGACTTACAAAGGAGGGGCAGTTTCATGCTGGAATACACCCATCATGGTAGCCTGGGTTCTAGCCCTTGTTCTCAGTGTGCCGCAGGTACTATGGTTGTCAATACTAAAGTATTACAACATTTAAAATGTTATAGGAAACAGTCAGAGAATAATCTATGCATTCTTGTACAATATTCACCCAATATCTGCAAAAGTCATTACAAACACATATGGTGCTTTGCTTTTCATTCCATGAAATATAAAAGGAACCATTTTAAAATATTTTCCCAATGCTGTCTTCCCTGCAGGTGTTTATTTTCTCCAGGTCAGAGGTCTCTCCTGGAGTGTTTGAATGCTGGGGGCACTTTGCTGAGCCCTGGGGGCTGAAAGCCTATGTCACCTGGATGACTGTAGCAGTGTTTGTGCTTCCTACCTTTATTATCACCATTTGTCAGGTACTACTGGTTCCAGTGCATTTCATTTGTCTCTAATCCCAGTTTCCGCATTCACCTTAAAAACACATAATTGTGAAGACATTAGTTAGACATTACACAATCACATTAGCATTATCATTAGTATGCCTAGTTTAAAAGCAACTACTGTATTTGATGTGATTCACAGTTTTTGATCAATAGTATTTCATCATAAAAAAAAAATTACAGGGATTTCATTTCTTGGATGAGCCAACATAGATAATTTAGTTCTACTCCCTCTACACTCTATTAGTTCATAATATAAATACAGTCCAATCTACCTTTTAATTCTGTCATTAATTACTCATTAATTACCCTTATGTTGTTCCAAAACAGTAGACTTTTGATCATTTCCAGAACACAAAAGATATTTTAAATGAAATCTGAGATTTTTGTAACTCCATTGACAGCTTATGCAACTACCACTTTCAAGCCACAGAAAGGTAGTAAAGACGCCATCAAAGTCCATGTGACTTTAATCCATGTGACTCCATGTTTTTAAATGTATGAATGCTTCGTTTGTGCAAACAAACATCTCCAACACACGTTCACAAGAGCACCACGACACATACGTGTTGTGTTGACAGCAGAGCAGACGTTGTTGTGTGGAAGTGCATCAGAGATTTTGTAAATAAAGTGGTAAATTAATTAATCAATTTTTTTGCACCGCTACATAAACCAGAGGTTAAACCACAGGAATCACATAGATTAATGTCTTCACTACATTTCTGGGCCATGAAAGTGGTAGTAGCGTAAGCTGTCAATGGAGGGACAGAAAGCTCTTCACACGCTCTCACGCCTCACATCAATTTTGTCAGATAGCCATGAACATCAGATTGGAGCAGCAGATTTTAAAAAATTCTCTTCTTCCATATCATGTTTAGTTTGCACTGATGCACTGATTGATCGGCTGGTGACTGGAATTAGCAGATTTTCACGTGATCGGACATGATCAGTGACCGGTCAGTCTGACATATGCCCATTTTATGTCGATCAAATGCACTCGAGCAGGAGCCGCAGTGAAGCGCGGGTTTCAGCCCAGAGTCTATTGTTGCTGCGCTGCTCACACTCAATTAAAGTGAAAGCACACTTTTGATGGACAAAATAAATATGGTTTCACACAAAAGTGCCAAAAATGCACCGAATTTGCATGTCTGGTGTGTTTTAACAAGAACAAAAGTATATGTCAGAAAAGAAAATTAATTTTCTTTTTGAAATGAACATCGTTTTTGTTGGATATTGGATGTGAAAAGAAGGAAATTGTTCTTCCATAACACTGCACTTTAGATGTGTGTGAATTTCCCACACCAGGAGTAATTTATATAGTCCTATTTTATAGCGATTACTCTTCAAAAATGTTCTATGTAAAATGTTCTATTGAAGAAAAGAGAGAAAATAAATAGTGTGCTGTAAAGTGGTTAAAAAATAAAATCGGAATCGGCCAAAAACGGTACCAAAAAATTGTAATCGGTGCATCTCTAAATTTTACCATATAGGCTTTTGTTATATTGCCAAAAAATAAGCTCTTTGACCAACAAATATGTAGAATTCTTATGTTTTGTTCCTCAAGAAAATCTTTATTATAGCATTAATACAATTGCCAGAAGGCTATTAAAAAAAAAAAAAAAAAACATCGCAATCGCATGACTGCAATGTCACCACCATTTTACATTTTTTTCAAATGAAAATATAACACAGGTTTCAGGTTTTAGGACTCATTCCTGCAACATGTCTCAGCTGTGATCTGGAGAAAATAACTTTTGTTATCATGAGCTGCTAGGGTGACAATCATTTGGGGAGAGGCGGATCCCCTGACATGTACAGTATCACAATGATTGTTTGGTGAGATTATGCTCTCTGACCTGGCCAAGGGGTTTTGGTCAGTAAAGTTCTATTTCAGGAGATCTTACCTTCCACCAGCTGATACTGTTCCCAGCAAGCCAGCCTTATTTAAGGAAATGTACACTGTGCATAACCAAAACCTAAAATTGCTTTATGTTATGAGTGTGTGTCACAATGAGTCTTTAGCAACGACATTTTTTTTTAACATTTTGCAAGAATCTTCAACCTTTGTTCTAACCATTAAACACCAGCATGGTAATCCTTAAGCAAACGTCTTACTGTCATAAAAAAAATATTCCATAGTCCTTAAAATACATACAAATAAATTAAAATAAATAACATATTTTTTTTTAAAAAACCCTGCAATAATGAAAAACTCCACGTTACAACTTGTAAAGTTGTTTTTGCCACTGACCTCCAGATGTCTTTTGACATTCTTACGAATGTTTGTACAAATGGTGGGGTGTTTTACTTGCAGTTTATATTTCATACTTGAGCTTCACTTGTGATTAAATGACTTTACTTCTGTTAAATGTCTCATCTGGGTGTAGTTTATAAACAAGATTTCCATTAAGAGAGGTTTTATCCATCATTTACTTAAATGAGTGCTATATACTAGAAAGCAGTAATTCTTAAAGCTGCACATTTTGGATATTCTCCTTATGTAACACCAGAATCAATTCACCACCTTATAGATGTTCCATGTTGTAAATTTAAGATCATCCAGAATTGAGAACCGCTGTTTTGAGAGTATGAAGTAGTGCAGTTTTGTTTTTTTTTTCAAAAAACAAATCAGTGTTTTTTTAACAAATGATTTAAGGGTTTTTTCACCTATATATAAAAAAAAAGAACAAAGAAAAAAGAAAGACGTACTCCGACTTCCTAGGTTGTCTGTTAAAGCCTGTTGAATCATTTTTATGTTAAAGACTCTAGATGTTTTTGCTGGGAATTCAAAATGATGCGATGTTCACAGTGTTCTTCTGCAAGACGCATCCAAGTTTGTTTATTAACCGTGAGCACCAAAAACTATATAGTGTACCTTTAATGAGCAAACCAATCTGAGTGAATCTTTTCAATGAACCAATTCATATGGTTCGGGTTCTCAAACGTTTAGAGACATTTCGACTGACCCACCAGTATGGGTGCATCCGAAATCGCATACTTCCCTACTATATAGTATGTGAAAAACAGTATGTGCCAAATGAAGTATGTCTAAAATCACAGTACTCATGTTACTCAGGGTAGGCTAAAAGTACCCAGAAGACCTACTTTTTCTGGAGAGAATTTGAAGTGGGCATGTGATGGACACTTTACTATCCCATGAGGTCATTTCATTCCGATTGTACCAAATGTGTCCATGTAAAAATGATAACTGAGTCAGTCTGAAACTACCAAAAAAAACAACATTGTGCCTGGTGTATGATAGGGCCCTGTGTGCCAATGTGTATGTGTATTGAACAGCGACACCTACTGCTGGTGATCTTTAATAATAACCTAGAACAGAATAAAGCAAGTGCAATGTAAAATTTAAATAACAAGTTAAAAAAAATTATGCAATGTAATCTTATATTTTTGTGTCTCTAGGTACGAATATTCAAAGAGATCCATGATAACATCTACCTGAAATCAGAACGTGTGGTTTCTGCTGACATGAAGAAGAACCTGGTCATTTTTCACTTTCCCATCTTCAAAAAACGGGCCAGCGAAGTTAGAGTCTCACACATGCCGAGAGAAGCAAGAGAAATCCATAAAAAGAAAACCAACAGTGGCTCATCCCATTCTCACACCTGCAACACTGAGGACACACCAGAGCCTGATTGTTGTGCTAAATCTTGTCAGGATGGCCACAGTCCCAATGATCTAGCCTCACAGACTCACACTTCATCTCCTGATGTGCTGCCTCACATTCAGACTCACCCACACACCATCTGGAGCAACTCTGCAGCATTCCAGACATCTCACGGATACTCTGCTCCTCACAGGACAACCGCTCCTGAAGAATCCAATACTTCATCAAATCCCTCTTTCCCACCTTGCCCTCTCCATCCACCTCTTACAGGTGTGTCGAAAGCTATGTCTAAAACAGTGAGAATGACTCTGGTGATTGTGCTTGTCTATACGTTGTGCTGGTCACCCTTCTTTATTGTACAGCTGTGGGCTGCCTGGGACCCCAACCCCCCCGACCAAGGTGAGAAATTAAAGACACAAGAAATATATAGCCAGTACTGTACAAAGTGTTGTCCATAACTGATTAAATTACATGAAGATAATTGTTAGTAAATTGTTTATCACATAGATATGAATAGAATTGTTTTGTACCAGATTATGAGCATTTTAAAATGCAATCTTATCTAATCTAATAAAAAGTATTTTTTTTAAAAATCTGATTACATAATCCGGATTACATGTAATCAGTTACTACCCAGTACTGGATGGCATAGCATCCATTTTTGGAGGTAAATCAACTCAATGACGACATTTGGCTGTTCAAAAGGGGCATTATTAATTCCTTACAAGACCACTGACTCATTGGATTGTGGAAGTGTACTGGAATGGTTGCAAATTATCCTGAAAATGTATAGCCCGTCAAGTCAAGTCAGGGTTTACTTGCAAATGCCCTCCATCTCTTCACCTCACGCTCTCCACCTAGACACATCCATATTTAAAGCCCCTTTCTTCACACCAATAAATAACCCTTCCCCATTCCCTGCTGCTCTTACATCACTAACCAGATTTTAATATCTCTCACCACAGACCACTGAAAGCAGCTATACATCTGTGCTCCACCTCCAGATGCTTTTGATTTGTTTCAGCTATTTACGTCCAGCCAAATGGGCAACCTACTACTGTTGATTGAATAGTTGAATGTCATATAAACTGTTTAGTATTTGTTCTTGAATGAAAACAAATTTCATTTTAGTTTAATTTCATTTTAAAAATCCTTTCAAAAGATCTTGTTTACTTTATACTGTGTAAATAAAAAGTAAAATAAATGTTTTTATTAACGTGCACTTCATGAAACTATTCTAAAAGTCACAAACAAACCCTATGACTAAACAAACACAGGAATGAACAATGTAGATTTGGTTCTGAAGTATGTTTGTTGTTTTGCGAATATAAACTACAAATGCTTTTAGCCAACAAAAAATATGTTCCAAGAACATTTTGCGAACATTAAGTTTGAAATCCTTATTTCCAAATGTTTTCAGCACGTTAAAAGAAAAAAAACGAATTTCTAATTGTTTTAATAACATCTTTATCTTGGTTATGAATGTTAGAGAAAACATTAAGGGAATGTTACATTATGTCATTTTGCTAACATTGACATTTTGAATGTTCTCTGAACCATCTAAAACAAATATAAATCTAACATTTAAAAAATAAACGTCCAACTAAAATGATTCGGAAAATGTATAGCTACAGTTGATAATGTTATATAAGACCAGATAACGTTCCTCGAATAATGTTTGTTTATAACTTTGAGAGAAACTGTTTTTAGAATATTCCCTGTTAGCTGGGGTGTTCGCGCAAGTATAAACAAGATTTTATGCTAGTCGAGTTTTGAAAGCTCTCTAAGATTAGCCCATTTCAAGGTGTCACCGTCTCTAATGTGGTTTATATTAGTAACTGAGGACAATTACTTGACCTCTATGATATTTGACTTGAAATCGATTTGACTTTCTCTACCCCTCTCCCTCATTTTCAGGAATGGCTTTCACCATCCTGATGTTGTTAGCCAGTCTGAACTCTTGTACGAACCCGTGGATCTACACAGCCTTTTCCAGCAGCGTGTCACGTGAACTTCGCGCTCTACTGCGCTGTCGACCAAAGCTGCCTCGCAGGAGCTCGATGCACGACCACTCGAGTGATATAAACACGTCCACCACCAAGGACAACCAGTTCTGACCCCTATAGAATAAACTAAAATTAAATGTCAGCAGAGGTGGTGATTTATGCGGGTGTATCTGTCCTACGCATTTGGAAGACATGTTGTCATGAGATCTTGCTACATCTTCAATTCAGAGTAGATGAAGATGCTGTTTTAACTGTGAATGGTTTGCTAATGAGCATATGTGACAAAGATCATTTCATGAGGATTTTCATGCAAAAACGGAGCACTAACAAGGCCGATCTCATCCACCAGGATAACAAACAACTTACTGAATGTCATAATAAACTTGATAAACTCCAGAGATCATTTCTAAACATATTTTATTGAAATTGTCCTCTGTTGTCTGAGAGATGGAGATAAAGGTCTTAACCACAGAGGAAGAAGAGATCAAGGCCTTAACCTCAGAGCCAGCAATTTCAGTCTTTCTGCCATAAGTCTTCTTCAGATTCAGAGCTTGCATGGCAAGGACTGAGGAAGAAGATAAATTATGTGATCCATGCATGGAAACTACATCCAGGGGACAGACACAAAAATCTGGACTGAGAAGTGATATTCCTTCCTTGTTGGACAAATATCTGACTTTCATTAGCGTTCAATACATAAGGTACAGGTTTACAAATGGACTAATTTGTATATTTAATCCGTCATATTGAATTCTAAGTAGACTGACAAAATATGCGGTGTGCAAAGCAGCAACACTTTCAGTTCCCCAATAACAATTGTAATTATTTATAAGAGCACTATTTAAATTTGTGTGAGGATAATAGGAAGTCATAATGAATATAAGAACGATAAAGGAAGAGAAACTAAAATGACATCAGGTTACAGTGCCTTGAAATGAACTGATTTATAACTGAAGTATATACAACTCAGTCCTCTGAAACTCTGCAAAAATCATTTTCTTAATCAGTATTTTTACTTAAAAATTTGCCAGCCGTTGTAATGTATTGCAAAATTTTGCTTATCAATTTAATTTATCTTGTTTTAAGACTGGCTATTTTTACTAGACAACAAAGTACTGATTTAAGAGATTATTTTTGTAGCAGTAGCTGATTTGTTACACTGTTCACATATAGGCTTAGATTAAGTAAAAACACTAAATATAAAATGTAAATAAAAGTAAAAATCTAGTGATACAGATGTTTATCTAAATATATTTATTCAACATTTTAAAGACAAAAAATGTCTTTGTGATAATGTCTTATGATGTCTGTCAAAACAAAAGCTAAAGAATCCAAATAAATCACAAAAGAAATTCAAGACTGTCTGAAAGTATATGAACTAATCTGTAAATTCATCAATGGTCTTCACAGTTGTTGTTGAAACGAGGATCGAAGTACAAAGTCGGCCACAGGTGTCACACATAAACTGGCTAGATCATGTTATTTTTAAGGTATTGTGTATTTGCAATCTGCCAGCCATAAATGGTCCAGGACTCCGATCCATACAACAGAACTGTGAGGAAGACTGCCTTCAGCGCTGCCACCTTTGTGTCCAGCCGGATGCCATGCTCATCCCATATTCTCTTGGACAGTCGACCGAAAGCAACACTAGCTTTTACGATCTGGGGCACTGATGTCTGAGTCTGCGTCTGAGTCACATTAGCCGTAAGAATGCTACTGAAGCAACAGAACTTGCCAACAGCTGTCAGCACTGTACAGTTACTACCAATTGAAAGGAGTTTAACTTGTTTACTGCTTGAAGAATGACTTCTGTCTTCGCTAGACTGAAAGTGAGCCCAAACAGGGAAGCTGCAGTTCGAAAATGATCCAAAAATGACTGGGCTTCGGTAAGGATGTGCGCCATCAGTGCGCAGTCATCTGCATACAAGATGCTATGCAAAATTGCGGAATGTGTGTTTGTGTGAGCCTGAAGCCTGCGTAGATTGAAAACACTTCCATCTGAGCAGAAATGGATTGGAAAGTCCATGTTGCGGTCTTTAAAAGCCACGGACAGCATCATGGAAAAGATGCTGCTAAATAACAATGGGGTGAGCACAAGGTCCTGTTTGGTGCCAATGGAGATGCCAAATGGGTCAAACAGCTCGCCATTATCCAGCACATGACCAAGCCATCATAAAATAAAGGGACAATGTTAACAAATTTCTCTGGGCTTCCGATCTTGCAGAATAAGCCAGAGCCTGGTGTGGGAAACTGGGACAAAGGCTTTGTGAGGTCAATAAAGATCAAATAAAGATGACATGTTGTTCTCGGCACTTATCCTAAATCTGCCTGGTAAACATCATGTCCATAGTACCACGGCCTGCACAAAATACACACGGATTTTCCGGGATGATGTCTCTGTCATAAAAGCGTTGTTGAATCCTAATAATATTGTGGGGGACACTTTAACTGTAATTGAGCATAAATACAGCACTTTTATTTTATCTAATATTTAATTTATCTTTCAGATAACTCCAAATGTGAGCTGAGTTTCATTTAAATTTACTGATAGTAAAAGAGGATTGGTTTAATTTATGAAATAATAAAACAGATAAGAACAACTGACTCAAATGAAACTCTTTGTCGAACAAAACATTTTTAACATCACTTTTAGTAGCTGATATCTTCATGGTTTAAAGTTGTTTTTTTTTTGATCATGGAAAAGGTTTACACAACTACTTGATATAAAAGTATATATAGATCTATAAATGGTGTACAAATGAAAGAAACCAAGCATTGTTTAAAGTATTCACAGGATTTGAAATTAGTGCAAGAAGAAGAGATATAGCCAATACATCAGGACGGCACAAATAACCCCAGGCTAGCCACCATGAATATTTGTCACAGACCACCGGGATGATCCAGAACAGCTATTCAAAGAATGCACTATGGACAGATAAAATAAAAAGTAATCTTATGAAATAGTAGGAAAGAAAGTTTGACATCTCATTCCAGCCATTATATGGTGTTGAGGTTATCATTCGGCATCTGGAATGTACAAATGGGCATTTTTCACAAACTCAATTGTTTTGTACGTTGTAGCGGACTACTTGAAATGTTTAATAATATGCATATAATTCTATCAACACCCTAAATCCATATTTAATTTTTCCTTATTCATTCATTTACTTCAAGTGATATCATTACCTTGCACTGTCATTATACAGTAAACTTCCTTACATGTACTTGGATGTTTATAATTGATTTGAGCGATTTCTTCTTTTTTTGGTCAGTACATCACCAGTTGCAATGAATCAAAAAGTGCAGTAAAAATTGTACACAAAAACACTACAATTTATAAGGCTAACAGACAATTCATACTTCAAGGGGGGATAGCAATTGGAACATTCTGTGCTCACATGCAAAACCAAAACTATGTCCTTAAATGGGTATCTATCATATACACATCTCTTTGGATCCCAGATTATCCTTTGAATTCTTTTAAAGTCTGTTTCCTCTGAGAACAGGAAATACAATGAAAACCAGTATTAAAGTAATGTGAACTGCCGGGCAAGTGAGGTTTATTAAACACGTGTCAAAATTATACATCCATCTTAAAGTGCAAACCTAAAAGTCAGGGTCATGTGGGATCAATTTGGATCCCTGAAACATTCCAATGAATGAAACCATCCCGTAGGCTTTGTTGGACAGGAACGTAATGCTTATTAATGGCCATGGTTCAGGATGAGCACCGAAATCCTGCCAGTGTTAGACGGTGTGCTGTGACTGTGTCCTAATTAATTGCTGTTTCTGGCAGTTTTAGAGATATAAAGGGGGAATAGATCTGTTGAGAGGCTGACCCCCATCCATGAAGAAGAAATTGGGGTCAGATATAACATGAATAACGGAAATAAATCAATTTCTTTTTATAGAAAATAATACTCAATAATAAACAGCATGAAGTGACAACAAAGAATTTAAACTTTCAAAATAGTCCAGGAAAGCCAAACTTGGCCTGGAATTCCACTGTGTAATTTTCCTTTCGGAATGATGGAATGAAATACTATAATGAGATGGGCAAATGTGGTCCATTTTAGAACAAAAGCATCTTTGGAATCTGATAAATAATTATCATTCTGGCAGCAGAGTCTTTCATCTAAGTTTTAGAGCTTAAAGTAGTTTACAGTTTTATTATAACAAATATTATGACACTACTGGTAGTTTATTATTCTAGTGACATTTTGTGAAACTGTTTAAAATATATCCCCAAAAAATTGCTGAGAAAACCACAGTATGATGAACAACAAATAACAAGTGTGAACTAATAAAAAAACCTGAATGAATACTATTGTCGCGGATGTATAGGCTACAGCATTATTACAAACAGCAGGTCCACATTAGAACTAGTATAGAAATGTTGACAGGGATGAACGTCTGGTGACGTTTAAAGCCCTTTGAAGCTGCAATGAAACTCTCATTTGGACCTTGAAACGTTTGGTTCCCATTGAAGTCCATTATATGGAAACAATCCTGGAATGTTTTCATCAAAAACCTTACTTTTCGACTGAAGAAAGAAAGACGTGGACATCTTGGATGACATGGGGGTGAGTAAATTATCAGCAAAAGTTTTTTTAAAAGTGAACTACTCCTTTAAACAGCTGCTGCTAAAAACATTTCACGCCAGATCAGATCATGCATGAAAATGCAACACTGAATCAGCTGACATAATAAAAAGCTGCTCAAAATAAGATTAGTTTGAACCAACTTCATCTCTGAAATATTTATCTAGGAGCCCTTTGCAAGAATGTTTTCCCGGATTTCTGCAAGAACTGCAGTGTTTATTTTACAGTATTACATAAGCTTTAAGCATTACTCTCTAATAAGGATGAAATTACTTACACATTAGTTGGCCTTAGGACGCCCTGGCAGCTAACCATGTCACTAGCACACTCCTGGATACTGAAAACACAAGAAACATTTATGAAGGCCAGACATTGCATTCTGTTTAATAGCCTGTCTTGCTTGCACTTATAGTTCATTGCAAATACCTGTAGTATTATATAAAAGTTATGAATGGTCTATAAAGTTTATAAAAATGTAAAGCTGTCAAATGAAGGCTACAAAGTTTGGAATTATGTGGAATGCACTGTGGAAATAACTGATCCCATATTTTGTACCGTTTGGTGCCAATTACATACTGATATTTTTAAGGGACATATATGTTTTTTCTGAAGTTTATGTTTTTACAATTTTGGGAAAATATTTTGATATTATTAAGTGATGTTACTTAATCTTGAAAAGGCCATTTTTATGACTATGACCTTGACTTGTCCCTTCGGTCATATCAGAGTCTTACTGCCCTCAAGTGTTTATTAACCAGAAATGCAATTTTTCTTTCACCTTATAAAGAAGCACTTATCTAAAACGTCAAGTATTTAAATAAAATTGACTGAACAACAGGCAATGGCACTAACTAATGCAATTTCCAGTGATTCAATAACAATGCTGTTTTAAGGCTTAAATCAGAGGCTTTAAGGCTTTCCATCAGAGGGACAAGAATAATTTCTGGCTATTCATGGAGACAACCTGGACACCACGGAAAATCAATATCAATATAAAAAGAAAAAAACAAACAAGAAATTACTTTTTTTTTATTCTTGGTTTTAGTTAAGGTTTTTAGTGAAGCCGACACTTTTTTGACACTTTTAACGACTGACTGTAAGGCCATTATGAATTTGATACCAAAGTTGGTTTAACATCTGCATCAGTGTTCAAATCAGTCTTAAAATCATTTCAACTACAGTCGTTTAGGTGTGTCCCCAGCTTAAGATTCACCCTGTTCCATGCTTTTTTCCAAAGTAGTTTTTCAAAGAAAATAATTGTAGGCCTAACTTACATCAAAACTGCAAAACATGCTGTAGAACGCCCAAGGTCGCATTTAGATGAGATTGAATGTTATAGGCGAGCCCAATATGGTGCAATTTCAAAGTATTAAACTAAATGAATTTTGTTGAACGAGTAAAACTATGAATTACCATTCATATAAAATATTATGCAAGAAATAATGGATGGTACGAGAGCACCATGTGACGTTTTAAAGACGGCGTTGTAAGCTACAGGTTAACGTTACCTCCAACATTTCAAGTCTTAAAAGTTATAACATTAATAATCTTAAATAGGAAAACAATATTTTGGTTTTATGATGCCAACATGTAACTTACGTGATGACATAAAGTTGGGATACACCATAATTACTAATTAAACGTACCTCTGCATTTCTGTGATTATTCATCTTCCTTGTCTTCAGTGACAGGCAGGCACACGATGCAGGAATTCCGTTTTGTCAAACAGTGACCCCTAGAGTAATGGTGCGTTCATGTGCTATGGTAAAGGTAAATACCAAAAGCCGACCTGGAAAATGCACATGAACACCCCCTCGTGTGGTATTTTCTTCCACTGGGCATTGGGCAACTCGAGTTGCCGAGATGAGATAAACTTTGACCTTTTCAAAAAGTCGTGAATGGTAAAATGATCTAGAAAATAAATATACATATTATTTACCTTTTGAGTTTTGATAAATCATTTTCTTGCTGTTGCAGATGACTTAAGCAATCTAAAGTAGTTTTAGCTAAATAACAGGTCTGGATCTCCATCTTTTTACCACATTACGACAACAAAAGCAGTTGAACGCAACACACTGGTAAATACCAGTTCACAAGTGAAGAGTTCAGATGCAAAAGCCTCTAAATGCCATTTGAAATTTTCTTCTTTAATGATGATTTTTATCAAACTTGTACATTTAAGTTCAGTAATTTTACTTAAATAACAATTAATAGGTAATTATCATTGCCATTTAAGTGAAATTACTGAACTTAAATATACAAGTTTGATAAAAATCATCATTAAAGAAGAAAATTTTAAATGGCATTTAGAGGCTTTTGCATCTGAACTCTTCAAGTGGAAAATATCCAATTTTCCATAGCACGTGAATGCACCATAATACCACTCATTCAGAAAGTCTCTGCACTCACTGCCTGATACCCTTCGAAGCTGGTATATTAAGGTACAAATCGTGCATAATGTGCCTTTAAATAAGAGATGTGTTTTTGAACTCAACCTGAGTGCTTGTGTCCGCTGCTATCAGTGTCATTTATAGTGTCTTTTGTGGCGGCGCGCGCGCAGTCTTCTCTCGGATCAATCTATCGCTGTTGAGAAGACTATCTATTCATTCCGGTGAAATCACAAAATAAAATGCAGACAAACTTAGAAAGATTAACTGACTAGTCCATAAACAAGATCGGCAGATCAGCATTACACTGTTGCATCCAGTGGTGCTTTTTAGCTCGCGCCAACAAGTGAAAAGCCCGACCGAGTGGGACTCTTGTCCGGTTCCATCCTCACGCGGTCAGATTCTCTTTTCCTAGTCTCTTCCGACCGCGTTTTCTTTGCTTCTTCCATTGTCGAGTATCACGTCTGAAATGTGCGCAAGTGTCTTCAAAATTGTTGTTGATGTGTGTGACGTCGTTGCCGTAAAGCATGTCGTAATTCTCGCGAGATTTGTCGGGGGCTCCTCTTAAACTTGCATTGCTCGTTTTTCCAGTGGCGCAAGATATCAATATCAAGAAAGATAACAGTTAGATAACAAATTGGTAATTAATAACAGTGACTTACAACTGACTTGTAGGCAATGAAACCACACTGAAGTTGATCAACAATCAACTTCAGTTTATGAAAGACAATAATATTCCATATACACATGAAAGACAAAAGGAAAAAAAGTTAATAGAGCTTTTAGGTGCTGTAAGAGATTATTTATTGTGAAAAATGTATGCAGAAAATACCCTTACTCCCTGAAAGGTATACCAAAATTAACAGTCATAAACAGTAAACAAAACTGGCCACAAGCCATTGTGACGACAAGTTACAATGATGACAAGTTACATTGTGACGACAACTCTCTGAAAGAGAGTGATATTGTGTACAGATATGACGAGACAACAACACACAGGGGAATGACGTGTATGTGATTTCCAACTAAATTTGTCCCCACCACAACTCTAAATTATAAATCATTATATGCTATGTTTATCCAAGTGTATTTGTGTAGACATGGTTTAAAATATCTTTTGAATATTGTTTTTGCAAATCGTTTTTCATTTTTCTGAAAAAAAAAGGGTACGGTCCATTTGTGAACACTTTGGGTACAAATGCTGTGGTGGTACTGGTCATATTTACACCTTAAGTAACTAATAAGGTATCCTACAAACTTCTTTCATGTTCGCACCATTTAATCTCCAAACAAAGGTACACTTGCTGTCCTGAAAGTTTTAAATGGTGGATCAAGACCCTTTGTGAGACCCTTACTGTAGGCCTGATATATTCTTATTCGCACAGAAGAACAGTTGCTTGTTACAAGTGTGCAAATGAGACTGTAGGAAAGAAAATGGCAACATAATGTACATTATATATATCAGTCACACGGATTCAAAACTAAAACAGATTTCACATGATGGATTGATGCCTCTTAAACCAACCTTAACAGTACAAAAATACCATACACAGAGATTGAGCATTCACTCACGTGTATGTTTCACCTAAATTTTCTTGTGTTTCTATACTTTCTTTACAAGTTTTTTGAGTCAACATGGTCAGCTGATCTAAATAAACCCTTTCCTTTCCACCCCAGTCCTCTATTCGAAGGTGTTTGCACAGGGGATGTTGTCTCTGTGGACGTAGATGTGTTTTTATCCGGCGAAGACTGGCGGACAAGAAGCTCCTTAAACACCGAGTGCATCATGTGATGCACTTCCTGCAAGATAGATAAAAGCACACTTTAGTAGAGGGAGGGAGGAGATCTCATTGGTATTATAACTGGGATTTAAACATCCCGACCTTATCCACTTCTATTGAGAGATCCTCTCTGCTTCCCCCCTCGGTAGTGGATCGTCTCGTTTGAGGGCTGTAAAAGTTATAAATTGACTGATTTAGTCATTATTCCATAGATGATAATAATCTGTGACATTAACATTTCCATAATGCCAAATAAACAGTCTAGGCTATTTACACACTCAAATGTTTTCCGCAGAGCCCCTGGAGAATTTCCTGTCGGTATATATTGTCCTATGGGTATTTGTAACGAAACCTTTCCAGAAGTGACATGGCTGGGTCCAACCCCGGCTTTGTTACTTGTGACCTTGAGCCTAGAAAATGAATACAGATAGAATTATTCTCGAATTACTAAATCAATCGTCATCATTATGTGGTAAGAATGAGGTTTACATAAGGTTAGGTTCACGTAGGTAGTAGATAATGAGCTTGTTTCATTAGCTGTATTTGTATAAACTCTGTACAAGAGTTCACATTTTAAGCAGAATGTATTAACAAAGCTATCCTCCACACATTATACAATCTGACTGTGGGTGTTTTACCGTGTACTTTGCTCTGCTTTCAGCTCTTCCTCTGTCTGCTGTCTACCACAGCTGGATTTCAGAGTTTCCTTCCCTTTCTGATCTTGGCCTCCATCCGCACTGAGCAACGTAGAGGGAGAGAATTGGGGAGTGTTATGACTCTCTAGACTGTGTTTTGTAACTGATTGTGGCTTTGACTCAATGGTGATTCCTGAGTCAACTTAAAGCCAATTCAAACAACTTAAAGCCAATTCTTCTAAATGCCTTCAATTCATATAACACCCAATAAAGTTACATTAACAGGTATGTAAATGAATAGATTAAGGGCAAACAAATAAATGAATTCAGTAAGTAGTTTCCTCAGTTAACTATTCACTAAGCTCCACCCCCTTGATTACCGTTGCTCACTCCGACAAGCTTTGCAGAATGTCCCAATTCATTTCAGTAAAATGAGCTCAAAGTAATTGGATATTATGAGAACTTGAATGAAGGGTTTCAAAGGGTTTTTTTTATTAAAAAGTTATTAATGAGAGCGAATGTATTTCTTATATCGGTTTTTATATATGTCAGGATAGATATTGGGGAAAATTACCCAATAAAGTTATGCAACCCCAACAGGCGGTGACATAAATGGATGTATAAATCCACTGACCATGGGAAATCAAGTGAAATCAGTAAGTAGTTTCTTCAGTTAACCATTTGCAAAGCTCCGCCCCCTTGGTTACTGTTCTTCATGTTTCAAGTAAAATTGGGTATTAAACTTGTGAGGGCTAGAATAAAATCTGGTATTGCAAAGCATCTTTATCCACATTTTTCTTTAAATTGTTAAAATTGGCCATGCATCTAGAGATAAAAACCTACCTTTGCATGCTTATATATTTATTTGGGATGAGCCCCTTTGTCCCATTCACCTCCCCTCTCCACCAATCAGAGGAGGCTTTGCTGTAGAGGATGAAACGGTCCCCGCATTTGAAGGACAGCTCGGCTGAAGAACGGCCTGTGTAGTTAAACAAGGCCACTCCTTGCAGCTCTGCACATCAGAAACAGACAGAAAGGAATTCATTTACTTCTACTCGCCCAGATGTTGATAGTAAACTATGTCAACCTTACCGTCTTTTCCTTCTTTTGTTTGAGATTGCTCTGATTCTCCATCTCCTTCCTCTGTTACAGTCTCACTGTAGGCATAAGAAATATTAAGTCAAGTCAATTTTATTTGTAAAGTGCTTTTCACAATACACATTGTTTCAAAGCATATTTATAGAAAATCATGATGTTGCCCTTGCCCAAGCTCTTGTCCTATTCAAACTTGACTATTGTAATGCTCTCTTGGCAGGCCTTCCAGCATGTACTGTCAAACCTCTGCAACTGATCCAGAATGCAGCAGCGAGAGTGGTGTTGAACGAGCCGAACAGACTTCACACACACACATCACACCTCTCTTTATTAATTTGCACTGGTAGCCAATAGCCCCTCACATTAAATTTAAGCTCTGATATTTACCCACAGAACCCCATACGCTGATTTCACGCAGCCGCTATTTTGAAAAGGCTCTGTGAATGTGTGAAATGTGAAATGCAGTAAAATGTTTTTTTTTATTTATAAAAAAAAAACTTGCTACATGTACTGTGCTAAACAAACCACTTACATATTGTTGCTTCAAACAGATTCTAGCTATTAACAACCCCCTTTTTCCCCCAATATTATAATGTAGCATAATGAGATATTTACTAGCAATTTTAATAAGGCGGGTTATTTTTAACCAAAACACCAAATTAGGTTCACCAAATTCATCACAGAGCAAGGGATAGTTTAAGCTGAGTCCATGCAGTGTTGTGATTAACATAGTCTCGAGATGACAACACGTGACGTTCTATTCTCAATGGCAACACTATCAACGCCTAAATGAATTTCTAGCGGTCAGGAGGTAAAGCAGTAACGT